CAGCGCAGCCCTCGGCCCCATCTGTAGGGAAATTCAGGGCATGTCGCTGGGTTGGCCCCACTGGTGGTGGCTTCTCGGCTCCGTGTCCCTTCCAGCACCTCTGGCTTTGGTTTGGTTTGCAGCACGGACTCACAGGAGGGCATGACTTGGCTTCCAGAGCTCTGCACAGAACCCCTGGAGAAGGACAGAAGCAATGTTTGATTCACACGACTGAGGTCTCCTGAGCTTAAGTGCAGTCCTGGCACCGGGAGATGCGCTTCTCCGCAGCCAAGGGTGTCCAACCTGGCACAAATAACGGGGGGCCAGAAGCAACCTCTGCTGGCAGAAAAGCATAAACACTGCTGGAGACTCAGCCGCCTCCTTCTCAGATCTCAGTTATCCTCTTTCCACCTGTCAGCCCATCCCTCCACCTACCCATCTATCCCTCCATCCTTTCATCCCTCCTCCATCCTTCCTTCCATCCCCAAGTCCATCCATTCCTCCATCCCTCCACCCACCTCTCTCTCCATCCACCCATCCCTCCATCCATCTCCCCCCATCCCCAGCAGCAGCTCAGTGATGCCGGGCACAAGGAGCCCCAGGTGGCCCATCTGGTTTCCCTGCAGCCCTCACAGCATCGTCACCTTTCATTCATGCTGACAGGTACAGGATTACTGCCAGCCCGCCCTGATGTGAACGCTTTGATCACGGGAGCTCTGTGAACTCAGGGTGAGGAGAACATCCAGGGCACCACCACCGTGGTCCAGTGAGGCACCAGCACAAAGGTGGGACCCCCTGCTGCTCCTCAGGGCCAACTGAGCATCACCCGCACACCACAGAACCTCTGGGCGTCCCCAGCCCTCCATATGGCAAACAACCAACACTGCTGTGCCGTGCCTCAGTTTCCCCATTGGAAAAGGGGAACGTTTGACCCCACACCAACTGCAGAGACCACCTTTATGCAGCACATTCCTCCATCCCTCCATCCCTCCCTCCATCCCTCCATCCCTCCATCCATCCATCTCTCCATCCATCCATCCATCCATCCATCCATCCATCCATCCATCCATCCCTCCATCCCTCCATCCATCCATCCCTCCATCCATCCATCCCTCCATCCATCCCTCCCTCCATCCCTCCATCCATCCATCTCTCCATCCATCCATCCCTCCATCCCTCCATCCCTCCATCCATCCATCCCTCCATCCATCCATCCCTCCATCCATCCATCCCTCCATCCCTCCATCCCTCCATCCATCCATCCCTCCATCCATCCATCCCTCCATCCATCCATCCCTCCATCCCTCCATCCCTCCATCCATCCATCCCTCCATCCATCCATCCCTCCATCCCTCCATCCCTCCATCTCTCCATCCATCCATCCCTCCATCCCTCCATCCCTCCATCCCTCCATCCATCCATCTCTCCATCCATCCATCCCTCCATCCATCCATCCCTCCATCCCTCCATCCCTCCATCCCTCCATCCCTCCATCCCTCCATCCCTCCATCCATCCATCCATCCATCCCTCCATCCATCCATCCATCCCTCCATCCCTCCATCCATCCATCCATCCATCCATCCTTCCATCCATCCATCCCTCCATCCCTCCATCCATCCCTCCATCCCTCCATCCACCCCTCCCTCCCTCCACCCCACAGCTCACCCTACAGCAGTAACACCGTACAGCGGTGCCCCCGGGGACGGCTGCCTCCTCCCCCCCACCCACCACCAAACCCCGATTGCTTTCAGGTGTCGGCCACTTCACAGCATCCATCTTCCCCCCGAGGAAGGAGGAGGTTTGGGGGGGGGGGAACCATTTCCAAGGGCTAAACACAAACCAGAAGGCAGCGCTGAGATTTCTCCATCCTTTCGGGACACAGCTGCTGATTTTTCCCTCTCCTTTCTCCCCACAAAGTTTCTCCCCCCGTTCCTATGGAGCTGCCCATCAGCCCGGGGGACTCCTTGCATTTGCTGCAGACTTCTCCTTGCCCAGCAATGAATATTCAGCTTACATTTTAAGGGAAGAAAAAGCTTTCTGGTGCTTTTCTGGCTTTCCATCGCGAACCGTGGCTCCCAGGTTCATTGGGATCAGGGATCTGCAGAGCAGCTCTCGCTGGGACTGCGGTGTGAGGAGCGCCGCTGGGCTCATTTACGGCACAGGGCTTCGTCCGTCCGTCCGTCCGTCCATCCCGGTGCGTATCGCTTTGCGCATCCTGGAAGCGCTCTGTGTGGGGATGGGAAGCGTCCGTCTGTCCGTCCCATGGGGCTGGGAAGGGCTTTGGTTGGGGTTTGGGGTTTTCCTTGGGGTGGGGGGGGGGGGCTGCAGCCCGGCTCTGTGTGACAGTGGGGCACAGCGCGGGGTGCATCGGGAGCAGCGCCCCGAGGGCATTTGCACCCACACAGCTCCCATAGGGAGCCCTTTTCCAACCTTCCTTCGGTTTGGTTTATTATTTTCATTATTATTATCATTATTTCGTAATTATTTTTACTGTTCTGCTTTCTATCGTTATTCGTTTTAATTCTTTTCTTTCCTTCTTGTTACCTCGTCCGAACAGCTCCGTTCAAACCCCCCTCCACCCCCCCCCCCACCCCCCCATCAGACCTCGGGCTGCACAACGGATCTCTGCTTCTTTGCATCACAAAACTCTGCCGGGATGGGGGAGGGAGACCCGGGGGGGCTGAAATGGAGCTCACAGCGACCCCATCGCCGAGCAAAAGGAGGAGGTGAGGAGCCCCACTGTGACCCCCCCACAGCCTGCTTGCAAAACAGGGGCTGGATGCTGCACGCAGAGCTCAGCGCTCCGACAGGACGGATCTGATTCCCCCCCCCCCCAACCCCAAAAGAAAAAAGGGCCTCTGCAAACTGAAATGGATGCCAAAATTCAAGAAAAAATAAACAGTTTGTGCATTTGTGCAACAGAGCCCAAGGCGCTGCTGGGTTTTGTGTTGGGTTTTGCGTCCCTGTTGGGTTTTGCCTCGGGCTCACTGGCACCACAGCAGTGCCAAAGAAACCCCCAAACCTCAATGCCACGCAACCCCCAAGCCGCGCCCGGCCCCGATCCCCGTGTGTCCGTCTGTCCGTCTGTCCTTCTGCAGCCCCAATGCTCCCATCCGTGTGTCGGCGAGCTGCTCCGTCCCTGCGCGCGGCCACAACGCGGCCCCGTGCAGCTGTGTGCGATGGGGTTGGACTGAGGGGATTTCAGCACGGCGTTCAACGGGCAGAGGAAGGCAGAGGGGCTCCTCGGTGTTACGTGAGGGCTGTGAGGAGGGCTGAGCTCGGAAAGAAAGGAGTGGGATCCCAGTGCTGCTCAGCGCTGCATTGCTGGGCTGCACAGACCCCAAATACAGCGGATTGGGGGGGGAGGGGGGGTGGAACCCGTTGCCATGCGGTGGGGATTGCTGAGCTTGGTGGCACTGCGCAGTGCCCACGGGTTTGAGCTGGGAGACAACATGGGGAACCAATGGGACACGGGCAGGGACATCCCATCCCCCCCCCCGGCCAGTGAGACTGAAACCGAAACCAGAACGTGGTGGCACAGCGAGCATCCCACATCCCAGCAGCAAAACCGGGAGGGGGGCACTGGAACCAATCCCCCTTCACAGCATTCGGTGACACGGAGTGACACAGCATTGCATAGGGGACAGCAGCGGGGCTCACAGCCCCTGCTCTGCGATCACTCACAGCGCACAGCGAGGAGGGACAGCCGGATGGGAGAGGGCAGCAGAAGAGGGAAAGTGTGGGGCAGCTGAGGGGGAAGAATGGGGCATGGGTGCAGCAAAATGAGCTGCAGCCAAAGCACAGCCCTGCAGCCCCACAGCCCTGCAGCCCCACAGCCCTGCTGTGCTTCCCTTCCTTTCCAGCTGAGTGCTTTCTCCAGGAGCTGCTGTTGATCTCAGGCAGCAAAGCACACCCCAACTGCCCCGACCCTTCCAGTAAAGGCACCAGCATGCTGCAACGCTGCTGTTCTGCTGCTTACCACCCCCCAGGTCCTTCTGCACACGCTTTGCTGCTTTGATGCAGCTCACCCCCCACCCTTCAGCCCCGTCCCACGGCACACAGCAGTGCCCCGAATCCACCGAAAGCTCTGTGCCGCCCAGATGGGAGAGCAGCAAATCGTGGCGCAGAGCGTGGCTGCAGTGTGGGGACCCCCGGCCGTCTCTCTTTGGCTCTGATCAGCCCCACTGTGACTCTCAGCCTTCAAATCACCAAATCTGACCCCTATCCCATCCACGATCCCCATCAAAGCCGTGCTCCTTCAGACCCAAACAGCCCGAGTGGCTCTGAACCACCGAGGGCAGAGGGGTGAGAAGGGAGAGATGGACTCCGACAAGCTCCGGTTGCAGCAGGGATAGAGGAGCTCTGCCAGGCATGGAGATGCGAGTCTGGCAGCGCCGCATCATGGCATCAGCACCAAACTGATGCGCCCAGACCTCAGCCCCAGTGCTGGGGAAGGAAAGGCCGCAAACAGCAGCCTGGGGAGAGGAAGGGACACGGGAAGACGCGGGGAACAGGGAACGTTCCTCCCATCTCCGGGATGCGGAGGGCCTGGGGTCGAAGCTCTGCATCGAGGAAGGGCCCTGGGCGTTTCCTGCTGCTCAGGGACTGCAGAGGGGAGGCCCAGAGCCCGCAGCCCCTGTCCTGGGAGGGATGGATTTCTGCTCCCGGCCGACCCCGCTCACCATGGGGGCACTGAGGGCTGCGGTGGGAATGGGGGGCAGCGGAACAGAGGGTTAACGCTGCGGGTGGAAGGACGCACGTGACCGAGGCGGTGGAAGTGGGTTGGGGTGGGAGTGGGTGTGAGTGCGCGGGGGTGCTGGGCGAGCCCTCCCTTCCAACCCCATATTTCCCCCCCCCCCCCCCCCCTCCTCCCCGGCCCCACACAAAATCCCGCTCCCCGCCGTCCCTCCGCTCCCTCCAACCTGCAGCATGGAGGCACGGGGCTGCTCTCCTTTCCCCCCGACCCGCCGGGCCCCCCCAGGACCTCCGCACACCTCCGGCCCCTTTGCAGCCGGCACACATGGGGACCCTCCCCGCCAACCTCCGGACAGGGCAGAGCCCCGCTGCCTGGGGGCCGCCGGCCCGGGCCCCCTCCTCCACGGGAGACCCTTCTACGGGGCTGCAGGTACTGGGGGAGGATTGGGGTGGCGGGGGGAGCCGAGGTCGAACCCAAAGGCTTTGCTTTCCCGATCCGCTCCTGCCCCTCGCCGCCCCGCTCTCCCTCCGCTCTGCGCTCCCTATCACCGACGCGGTCCCGCTGTCGCGACACCGAGATCGACCCGATGGGCTCCCGGCGATGCGAGAGGAGCGCAAAACGCGGCCGCGGATGGGAGCGGGGATCCGCCCGGTGCCCGGATCCGCCCCAGCGGGACTCTCCCCCTCGTTTCTCGATCTCCCCGAGCGCTCCTCGCTCCTTCCATCCCCGATAACACCGTCGGAGGCCCCGAGGGCTCCGCTTTGCCCCGGCCCCGTCAGACCGCTAATAGACCGAACAACGAGGCCGAGCGCGACAGGAACCCAACGGCACCGGAGGGGGGGGGAGCGCCGCTTACCGCTGCCTGCATCCTCCGTCCGGCCTCGGGAGCCCCGCAGCCCCGGCCCTCCGCTCCCGGTCCCCGCGGGCGCTGCTCTCCTCCCGGTGATGCTGCAGCTGTTCCGCAGCTGGGGGCAGAGCCGTGCGGGGCGGTGGGTTTGGGGTGTCCACGTTGTTCCTTTCTCCCCTCTCACCCCCTTCTTCTGAACCGTTCACGTTCCGCTGCACCCCGCTGTCCCGTTCCCTTCCTGCTCCTTTTAGGGCCCTTTATTTATCAGTTTCCATCGCAGCCCTTTCAGAAAAGGGCAAAACCCCCCAGAAAGGCCCAAAGCCGCCGCTCAGAGCTCAGAGCTTTGTGCAGCCCACGGTTCTCCTTCATCCCCCTTTTCCCTCTTTCCCATGGCGCTGCGTTCGGGTTTTTGCCTTCACCCCTCTCCACGTCCCCTCATCGCCAGCAGCAGCGGCACAGCGCGGCCCTCCAATCGCTCAGCCCTCCAGGAGCACAAAGCTGGGGATCCCGCAGCCCTTGGCTGTTTTTTGGGGGGTACAGAGACCACTCGGAACCGAGGATAGGGGAGCAGCTCCCCCCCCTCCCCAGCCCCAGATGAGATTGGGCCGTTAATTCGAAGCAGCTGCCCCGCAGCTCGCGGCTGCGCGCCGTGACCCCCAAATTGCCTCAATTAGGACAAAATAATAATAATAATAGCCGTCATCATCATCATCCAAAGGGAAGGTCTGGAAAATGCCACCTTGGAGGTGGGGTCGGGGGCTCAGAACCTCGTGGGGGTGTGCAGGGATGGGACACAGGGATGGGACACCAGGATGGCCCCCTCAGTAGCCCTGAGGGCTGGGCTGCGCCCCACACAGGGGCTGAGACCCCCAGGGATTCCTAATCTCCACCTGCTGCCAGCCCAGGCTGTTGGGCTTGGTTCTACTGGGGAGGGGGAGACACAAAGGAATGCAGCTGGGGGGGCTCCTCCATAGGCAGCAGAGCCCCCAGGTGCGCACAGCAGGGCTCCCCACACTGCTCCCCCCCCTTCTCCCCCAGGTTCCCTCTGTGAGTTCTGCCCCTCAGGGTGAGCCACCACCCGGCCCCATCCTCATCTGCCCTCCCCTCCATGGGACGAGCGCCTTTCAGTGGGGCTGGGATGGCAGTACTTGAGAACAACAGGAGGGACTTGACCCCCCAGAGCACAGCCTAGGGGGGGCACAGCAGTGGGGAGGGGGGGGAACCGCCATGTACAGAGCTGTGGCTCCATCCTCAGGGCTGCACGGGGAGAAAGGGATTGCATTGGAAGCAACGAGGACAAGATTCGGGTTTGCAAATGGATTCCTGAGAGTCAGGGCTGCAGAGAGACACCATGACAGCCTTCGAGATGCGCACCAAGCGGGGGTCCTGCAGCTCCCCTCCCCTGCCCTGCCCCCCGTACCCCCATCCATCCCATGGGGTGATGAGGAACCCCAACCTTCATCCCCCCACTGCAAGACCGGCGGCTCCATGCTCCCCTAACCCCCCACCTCTCCCCTCCAGGCATCGAGAAAGGCTGCAAGGCCGAGTGCCACGCAGTGCCCGCTGCCTGCCGCCCCACGGCCAAAGCCCCACTGCTGGCATCCCCCCCCCTGGGCAGCCCCCTGCTGCCAGAGCCCCCTCCTCTGGGTAGGAGCAAGAGCAAGAAGCGGAGGAACAGGACGACCTTCAGCACCTTTCAGCTGGAGGAGCTGGAAAAGGTCTTCCAGAAGACTCATTACCCCGACGTGTTTGCCCGCGAGCAGCTGGCGCTGCGCACAGAGCTGACCGAGGCCAGGGTGCAGGTATGGGGCTGGGGGACCCGGGGGGAGGGATGCCTTCCTCTGCCTGAAGAGGGGGATGCTGAGATCCGAAAGGCGAACTCACCCCATTGCCAGGGGGTGTTCCATGGCCTGGCCTCAGCTTTTCCTTTGTGCCATCCAAAGGGCAGCGAAAGAGAGACAAGATGTGGGGCAAGAACCCAGCTCGGGGCATGGGAAAGCAGAGGGGCACGCGATGGGGAGGGCAGGAAAAGGAGGGAGGGCTTCATTCACCCCCATCCCATGTCCTCCTTTCTGGGGGAGGATCTGTCACGGTCCCAAGGCACAGAGGGGACGGGCAGGAGGGTGATCCCAACCCCGACAGCCTCACCCTACACCAAAACCAAGCACAAGAGGAAGGGAACACAGGCCTGGCACCCGCCCTGCATGGGCTCTTCCTGCTGGGACAGGCGGGGGGGGGGGTTCCCCAATCCTCAGCCCCCACCTCTGCCCCCAGGTCTGGTTCCAGAACCGAAGGGCCAAGTGGAGGAAACGGGAGCGCTATGGGAAGATCCAGGAGGTGAGAACCCCCCCGTTGCACCCCCCTCACCGGGCCCTGCAGTCACAGCGCCCCCCAACAAGGCTGTAGAGCACTTCACCTCCTCGCCTTGCTGCAAAACTGCCTTTTTTTCTTTTCCACCAAACACTAAAATGCATACAAAGAACCTCAAACCAACCAGCTCTGTGCCCCCCCCCCCCCATCCGCTGCTCTCTGACTGCCGTGTGGCACAGAGGCAGCAGCAGCAGCACCAGAACACGAGGCTGGGGGCTGCCACGAGGGTCCCCGCACCACAAACCTCCCAGGTCAGTGCTGCCAGGAAGGAGATCCCCATCAGGATCTGCTCCCCCACCCAACTGAAGGAAAGCAAAGATGGCCCTTGGTTGCAACCCTGTGGGCAGGGGGGGAGGCGATTCAGGATGCGGGGTGTGGATGATGATGCAGCACCCACTCTGGGGTCTTGGCTCCTTTCTTCCAGCTGCAGAACAACCTGTGGCCGAGCTCTGGCAGCCCTGCAGGGCCCTGCCTCGTGCCCCCCGACAGCGTGCCATCGCCGTGCGTGTCTCCGTATCCCCACACTCACAGCAACATCACCAGCTTCGTGGGCATCCCTGCCTCTCCCGGCCACCCCCCCGGCATCAACAGCCTCTACTCCCTGCACGGCCTCACCCCCCCGAGCCTCAGTGCCCCCCAGTTTGAGTCACAACCGTCGGAGAATGACTACAAACCTCCCACCCTGGTGACGCTGCGGATGAAAGCCAAGGAGCCGGGCAGCCTGCTGGGCTGGGCCACGTAACCCCTGCAAGGGACACAGCCCCCAAGGCAGCGTGGTGCATCCCTCCTGCATCCCAATATTGCCGCAGCCCGGCCCTCTGCATCAGGAAGGAAGGGGGGTGAGGGGAGCAGAGAGCAGCGCAGAGCAGCTGGGATCTGATGGAGGGCGCCGTTGGCTTTGCCCAGCATCTGCACCACGGGGGCGTGGGGAAATCACCCCCAAATCCCATCTGAGGAGCACACAGCATCCCAGCACCCATCCTGAGCCCACGTCCTGGGGCAGGGCGGCTGCGTGGGGTGAGGGGAATGAGAGCTGGGAGAGGGGGACCGCCGGGGAGAGAGGAAAGGCTGAGGGCAGAGCCAGCCCACCTTGTCACAACGCCCACCCCAGGCTGAAGGAGCCCTCAGAGCTTCCCTGCACCCCACAGCAAAACATCAACCCCACTCTGCTGCATCCCGATGGCAGGCATGGAAAGCGGGGAGCCCTCAGGGAAGGGCCCAGCCCTCACCACCAGCCCCATTTGGGTCAAAATAACACCCCAAACCCAACAGTTTCCGTGCAAAAGCCCCACAAACCTCTCAGCAGCCCGAGGAAACCATGGGCACGGCCGGCGCCCCGCAGGGAACGCAGCCCCATGGGGAGACCCACGCTGCTCCACAGCCCCCTTCCCCCCCACAGAGATTTTGCTCCCTTACAAACAATAAAAGCACACTTTTAGGAACCTGGTTTCTCCCCCCGTGCTGCTGCCATGAGGCTGGAGGGACGCAGACAGAGGCGGGCCGCGCTCAGTTCAGGGCTATCACGAATATATATATGTATATATATTATATATGTACAGCTCATCCACCCCACCCAGCGGGGTGAGGGAACACTGCAGCCTTCAGCCCCACCACCACTGCACTCCCAGCCCCCCCTCCATTGCCCGGGGGGGGGGGCACACAGCCTTCGTGTTCCTATCACAGCACCCAGCGACCCACAGCGGCACCAAAGGACCCTTCACTGCCCCACCGGCTTCTGTATGGGGTGAAGCACGGCACAGCCTGGAAGGAGGCAGAGGGGCTGGATGGAGTCTCAGATCCCAGCTGCACGAGGCCAGGCACCCACAGCCCCCCCCAGCACCCGAGGCTTTGCCCCCCCATAACCTCGAACCTCTCCCCAAACAACCCCCAGCCGCATTCCCACGACGCCATCATCACTGCAGCAGCTCCTCCCAGGAGATGGGCCTGGAGAAGACCTCCCGCTCCAGCCACAGGTCGTAGTTGACCTGGAAATCCTCGGGCAGCTCCACTCGCTGGCCCAGCACGCTCTGCAGGCAGTTGTCCACAGGCAGAAAGTCGGGGTTGCTGTGAGCCCGGTCGTAGCGGCGCGAGTTGAAGCGCTCGATGCTGGCACGCAGGGCGCATTCCTCTGCCTGGAAGTCCCACGGTCGGGCATCCAGGTCTGCGAGGAGAGAAGAGGGCGTCAGAGGACGGCTGGAGCTCTTTGGGCCATCAAATCGCCCACGGTGAGACCTGGCAAGGCCCCACGAAGCAGCACGAGGAGGCGCAGGGCCAGCAGTCACCATCAGCTCCAACACCAGCAGCGCCAGCACCACACATCTCCCCCCAGCAGCCCAGATCTGGGGCTGCACCGGCCCTGAGCAGCAGCAGAGCAGCTCTGGCACGAGGACAGCAGGTGACAGGGCACTCTGTGGTGGCTGCAGAGCACGTACCGTTGCCATAAGCCCAGTCGTCATTCAGGCGGTGCCGCACTTTCTGGTAGATGGCAGACATGGTTTTCATGTTGCTCTTCCTCCACTGCCGACCCAGGTATTTGGTCTGCACTTTGAGCAGCTTCAGCACGTAGAGCTGCATCATGGCCTGCTTCACCTTCAGTGCTCGCTTCAGGATGGGGGCTGACTTGAACACCACCAGCATCTGTGGGGACAGCCGGGGGTGGGGGGTGACGCGGCCGAGATGGATGCAGGGCACCCTGCTGCACAGTGCCAGCCCCCTCCAGCACACCGACCTTGCTGTGCAGCATGCACACTCCTCCTTCCTTCCCCCCAGTGCTCTCCCACCCCGCAGTGAGGCCTGGGTGCAGTGCAAAGCCCCAGCCCGGCCCCCAGCCCTCACCATAGTGCGGGAGTGCTTCCACTTGGTCAGCTTGTTGAGGATGCGCAGCAGGTTGATGCAGGAGAACAGATTCCTCCAGCAGAACTGGTTGTTGTCTCCTGCCTCCTGCAGGAAAGGAGAAGCAGAAGCAAGTCGTGAGAGTGGGGGCGCTGAGATGATAAGCTGTGCTGCTCCAAAAACCCCTGCCTCCCAAGCAGCACTGCAACCAAACCAAAACCCAAGGGCACCCACAGAACACCCAGCGACAGCGGGGACCGAGCAGCGCTGAGGCTGCCAGGAAGGCTGCTGGAGCCCTGCTGCCTCCCCACGTCCCCAGGAAAGCACTGCAGGGTGCTGGGAGCCTGCAGAGAAGGGAGCAGCATACCAGGCTCTCTGCTGTCAGCTCCGGCAGCTCGTGCACCACGCAGTACGGGTAATCCAGGACGGAGATGCTGCAGAGAGGAGAGGGGTGTCACGCTGCTCCCACAGAGCCCAGCGCAGTCCCACGCCTGGGTCTGCCTGCAGCCGAGTCACAGCTGGGGGTGGGGGGGATTGTAGAGGGAGAAAAGCAAGCAGGAAGCCTCTCCCCACATCCCCTCCCCAACCTGTTCTTGGCGGTGATGTAGGACATGATGTTCTGGTTGAAGAACTTCAGGATGAGCGGGATGCAGTTGGCGAAGACCAGATGCTGGGCCATGTACTCAAACTGGGGGGAAAAGCCACGTGGGTGGGTGAATGCGGACCCATCTCCTGGGTGCTGCGCACCCCCAAAGCTTGGCCAGAGCCTGGCCCAGCTCACCTGGTAGATGTGATTCAGTTTGAAGTGCTTGAGCAGGAGGAGCAACACGGCAGAGATGGCTTTGACGATGATCTCCTTGTGCCGATTGACATCCACCCCCAGCTTCATGCTCTGCAGCACCGTGGTCCTGGGGCACACAGAGAGATGCTTGGCCTGGGGCAGTGCCTGTACCCTTCCAGCCTCACCCTGGAAGCATCTGCAGGCATTTCTGCCGTTCCCTGGGCTACCAGCAGGCACCTGCAGTCAGTTCCTGCAGCAGTGCGCACTTCCCAGCACGCCACCAAGCCGAAGATGGTCACACCACCCAAGAAACCTGAGCACAGAGCCAGCCTACACCAGCCAGCCCGGCTCCATCCAGCTTTCCCTTCCATTCCTATTAGCACCAACAGCCTCTTCTGTCACTCACGGCATCTCCTCCGGCAAGACGTCGGCCAGGATGTTGATGGAGTCCGTTTTGGCTTTGGAAGTGGGGGCTGCAGCAAGGAGGATCTTCAGCAGAGCAATCTGGAGGAAAGGGAGAGATGGAAAATTGGACAGGGGAAACCAGCCACAAGCTGCTCTCCCCAGCAAAGGATGGTGGAAGTGATGTATTTGTTGGGAGGGAAGAAAATCTGAGCGTGGCTGAAAGGGGCAGAGCAGCAGGGGGAGACCTCAGGGTGAGGCACCCCCAGATCAGCTTCAGGAGGATGGGGCAGAGCCCAGGGGACCGCAGTGCTCACCATGTACTGCGGGAGGCTCGGCAGGAGGCCCTGGTACAGGATCTCAGCGGGGACTTGCTCCACTTCTTCTTCCCCCTGGTGGCAGAAGAGAGCAGCGAACCTCATCCCGAGAGCAAACAGCAGCTGGTTCAGCCCCAGGCACTGCGAGGATACCTCCGGCCCCGGCCCAATGCCCCCTCTCACACCCAGCCCTTTCTTCCTGAGGAACCCATTCCCCCTTCCCCAGTGAGCTGCAGAGCAAACCCAGGTCTCCCAGCAGCCAAAGCATCCCCAGCTCCGCGTGGGAGCTCCATCCTCCCCCATCTGCACACTCACCCCAGAGAGTGGGGAGCGCAGGTACTCGTCCTCCATGTGCACCTGCACCTCTGCGATCGATGTGTACTTGTGCTGCACACAGGGAGAAGGGGGGATTCACACCACGGGCCCCCACTAATGCCACACAGCACAGCTTGGGGCCGCCTCCGTTATTCCTGCTGCGGTGGTGACCCAGCACTGACAGACAGGGAGGCACAGGAGGAGGAACTCAGCAGCAGACTCACCTGCTTCAGGGTTCGGATGCTCTCGTGGATGGGCCTGGGCAACCCCACCACGGTGTTGGTGTCACTGGAGAGAAGGGAAAAAGTTGGGCTGCGTGCAGACAGCAGCAAACCTGAGTGCTTCCAAGGGCAGGTCAGAGACCAGCGCTCAGAGGAGAAGCGTGACAGCCCCCAAAGCAGCAGCTTCTGCTGCAGCCCCCTCCCCAACTCCCCCAAAACGAGCTGCCTAGCCTGGCTTTGCAGGAGCCCACCTGCCCAGAGTGTAGCCAATGAACTTGCTGCGACTGGACTCCAGGAACATCTCAATGTCCTTCTCTCTGCAGCAAAAAGACAAGAGGAAAAACAACATCTTCCTATCAGCCTTGCCCAGAGAGGCTGTGAAGACTCCTTTCTCCTTCAAAAGCCACCTGGACGAGGTCCTGGGCTCTGTGTCCCTGCCTTGAGCAGGGGCTGGGCCACTGAACTCCTGAGGCCCCTTCCAACATCAACCATTCTGTGATACAACCCAATCCCCAGGCAGGGGGCACAAGGATAACCCTGCGGCCAGGCAGAGAGATGGCGCTGAGCCCACCTTGACAACAGAACAGCCACCAAAGCCACCAGCAGACCAACCCCCCACCTCCACCACCTTCCCAACACCTCAGCTTCAGCACAGTACGCTCTTAAAGACTCTGCTTTTCTCTCCCTGCAGCTCAGCCTCCGGACTCACCGGACTTTGGGCGCCCAGGGCAGCCCCTTGGGGCAGGTGATGCGGTCGCTGGGGGGATGCTGGGTGGGTGGAGGCATCACCTCATCACGTTCAAGGGGGAAGGTCTCTCCCTCCAAGCTGTTGTCGTCATCATTTTCTTCCTCTTCCTCACGGGAGTCGTCAGCTTTGTACGGGTCCCTCTCGTTAAAGGCATCCAGGTTATCCTGCTTAATCAGGGCCTGGAGAGAGCAGGGCAGGAAGGTGGGTTCTGTTCCACGCAGATGAATACCCCAGGTACAGGCTGCTCCAAGATGACATCCTGAGCCCGTCTGGGCCCTGTCCCCAGCTCTGCCCTCACCTTGTGCTCCCGCCGGCCTCGCTTCTGCTGCTGCTCAATCAGGTC